CCGCGGCCTGGCTGGCGGCCGGCGCCCTGGCGCTGCCCCTGGCGCTGCAGCCGCAGACCTTCCGGTTGTCGCACTCGGACCACGTGCTGTGCCACGACGCGCTGCCCGTGGGCGCCCAGGCCTCCTACTGGCGGCCCGCCTTCCTCTGCCTGGCCGTGCTCGGCTGCTTCCTGCCGCTGCTCGTCATGCTGCTGAGCTACGGGGCCACCCTGCGCGCGCTGGCGGCCGGCGGCCCGCGCTACGGCCACGCGCTGAGGCTCACCGCGCTGGTGCTGGCCTCGGCCGTGGCCTTCTTCGTGCCCAGCAACGTCCTGCTGCTGCTGCACTACTCGGACCCGCGCCCGGACGCCTGGGGCGACCTGTACGCCGCCTACGTGCCCAGCCTGGCGCTCAGCACCCTCAACAGCTGCGTGGACCCCTTCATCTACTACTACGTGTCTGTGGAGTTCAGGGACAAGGTGCGGGAGGGGCTGCTCTGCGTGGCTCGGGGCGCCTCCGCAGCCTCCAGGGAGGGGGCCGCCCAGGGCACAGGCACCCGGTCCACCTCCCTCGTGTGAGGCCCCCCGGAAGGCGGGGCAGGTGGACAGGGCGCCGTGCGGGCTCGAGCGGGGCCCCCTCCCGATTCATGTGTACCGGGAACCCCTGAACGTGAGCTCATCTGGAAACAGGGCCTTTGCAGGTGTTATTAAAATTCGGTCACACTGGCGTAGGGGAAGCCCTAAATCTGCTGTGACCAGTGTCCTTATTAGGAGAGGCCCACGTACACACAGGGGAAGAGGCCATCTGATCACGAAGGCAGACACTGGGGTGAACAGGACGACCGCTAGCAGCCACCAGAAGCCGGGACGGCAGCCTGAGACGCCCTCCCTCGGAGCCCCCCCAAAGAAGTGGACCCTGCCCACACCCTGATCTCAAGCTTCTGGCCTCCAGAACGGTCACAGAATAAATTTCTGTTGTTTTAAGTCACCCGTTTTGTGGTTTTTGGTTAGAGCGGCACCAAAAAATGAATATAGGGGTTAAATGCATGTTCCCAGGCCCAGCCAGCTCCCTCACGTCCAAGGTGGGGCGGAGGCAAGGCTGATGCTGCCGTGGACCCGCTCCAGGACCCCCTCCTAGGAGGAGGCTCGGGCCGCCCACCCCCTCGTGGCCCAGGCAGCCAGGAAGGCCAGTTGGCAGTCCTCCTTCCCCAAAGCCCAGCGTCTAGCTCTGGGATGGGCTCCGGGGTTTGGGGCGTGTCCTGGACAATCACTGCGGAGGCCGTCATTCTGCTCCCCAGAGCCCGGTGCGGCCTGTCATGGGGACCCACAGGACTGTCACCTTCTGTCACCCTGGAGGCAGGACGGTACCTCTTCCCCTTAACCCTAGGTCTGACTCTTCTTGATGTTAACGTCCCCCACCACCCCAGAACCAGGTGGGTGGGCAACTGGAGGGTGGACAGGTGGGCCCGGGCAGGGGCTACAGCCCTGCGACCCCCACCCCAAGCTGTTTACCCCGGGATCTGAGCCGTTCTGAATGGGGGGGGTACTGCAAGGAGTGGGGGCAACATGGGGCACTTTGTCTGGAGCCACGGAGACGTCAACTGTGGGAGGCTCTCCCAAGGCAGAGGGGAGTGGGGGCCATTCCTGGGCTCCCCATCAGGGTCCGTATGTGTCTGGTCTAGAGAAAAATGAGCCAGTGGGTGGGCAGCCCCAGGACACACGCACATGCCCGTGAGCCTGGAGAAGTGTAAGACCAGCGAAATGTATCCATGTCAGTAGTCTGGTTGATGATGTAGGAGTTTCCCAAGATGTTACCGCCGGGGCGGGGGGCGGGGAGGCTGGGTGGACAGTAGACCTCTCTGTACCGGTAGAATTTCTTACAAATGCACGGGAATCTATCATTAGGTTGGGGTGCAGGCGTTTGAGACGCTCCTCCCCGCCCGGCCCTGAAAGGCTGAGCCGGAGACTAGGGAACAGAAGTGCTGGGGGGCCTGACAGGAGCTGGGCCTCCAGCCCTCAGTGCTGCACCGCCCCCCCCCACCACCACCCAGGCCAAAGCCTGTCTGTGACTCTGGAAAGGAGCTTTTATTATGGGAGCGGCCTCCACAGGGAGCGGGGCTGGTGGGGGTGAGGGGCGCGGGAAATGGCCGGGGACCCACTGGCTGGGCAGCGCCCTCAGGGTCTCTGTGCTGTCCCCGCTGGAGGTCAGAGACGAGCAGCTCTGGCCACCATAAATACCACTGCACAGGGGAGCAGACAGGCCATGCCCGCGAGGGACCAGAAACAGGTGTGCCCTGAGGGTCACAAAGAGGAATGGGACCACAGCTGGAGGGTCCCCCGAGGAAGGCAGGGCTGGTTGCGGGGCTGGGGCTCCCCCGCCAGGAAGCTGGGAGAAGGCAGTCCCCATATGGCTTTCCCTGAGGGCCTGGCCCTGTCGGCACCAAACATTTGGGGACCCCTGGGGTGAGACAAGATGGGGGTGTGTGGGGACTGTGACAGTTAGGGGACAATTCGAGGTCTAGGTCCAGGGGTTCGGCGGCCCAGGTGCCCCAAAGAGGGCCCAAGCTTTGCATTTTGGAGAAAGGCGGCCTGTTTCATTTTGAAGTTGGTGATGAGGGGATGGATGCTTATCTATGTCCCTGATTTGGCTAAATGTCATCGTGTCTCCTCCAACAGAGGCCTTTGGCCACAGGTCCTTCCCAGGAGCGTCCCTTCTCCTGGAGCGGAGCTGCTCTGGCCCGAGGAGGGGGTGCCCAGGGCCAGGTGCAGCTGGGGAAGTGGGGGGATCAAGGCCAACCCTCCTGTTGAGGGAGGGCTGGGAGGAGGCCCGTCATCCATCGAGGCAGGTCTCTGCGTTCTGTGTATCAGGTTCATTTAGAGGCTGGGCTGCGGTCACCTGGGGCGGGGTCCGCCCGCCCACCAGAGAGTTAAGGGAACTCTCCCATCAGTGGCCCCCTTCCGGTGGGGCCGACAGGGACAGGACGCAGCCAGATCAAGTCCTCCTGCTCGGAGCATTAGGAAGAGAAGCCACTCTGACTGAAGAGAGAAAAAAAGAAAGACACAGTGTGGGCTGCCCGGCCTTCGGGGGGGCCGGCGTGCCTTTTGCTGAACCCGCCTCCACGTCGTGGCTCGGCCTGGCTGCCTCTGCCCATTGGGGCAGGTGCATCCCCCCTGGAGAAGACCCTCAGGACCCTGCCCACCCCCACCGGGTCACGGTGATGGGACAGGTTGTTCACTTCTGGTCCACACAACAACGTGGGTGGATGGCAAGGGAACTCCGCTAAGTGAGAAAAGCCGATCTCAAGAGGATTCCTGTTTACACAGCATGCCCGGGAGGACAGACTCTCCGGGTGGGCGTGGCTATAAAAGGGCAGCTCTTGTGTATCTTGCCTATGGTGGTGATGACACAAAGCTACCGGTGGGGGAAAACGGCAGACTCAGATGCGACAGTGGTGAAATGAACAAGTAAGCTGCAAAGTTTAAGGATGTATATTGTAATCCCCAGGGGCTGAATCAAAATGGAATCCTAAAAAAAATATTCCATACGTGCAAAAGGAGGCACATGGAGGACAAAACAGAACAAATACTGAAACAATAGCCATAAGCCCAGCTCTACCAATAATTATCTTAGATGCACATGGACCAAGCCCCAGTGCTTGGTGTGGGATGATGCAGCCCTGAACTTCCGGGACTTTGCTGGGTACTGGTGGAAAAGCATTCCACTAGGTTTGCTGAATGAGGCTGACAACCTGCCTTTGCCACTGGCGTGCGGTGGGGAGACCCTGCCAAGGCAGGCCGGGCGCGGGTGGACACAGCCCGAGGCCTGACAGTGCAGCTGGCCCCTGGGGCTGGCACCTACCTAAGCTGATTAAAGCCAACCTGCTGCTTAAACCTCTTGAGTTTGCTGTAACTAGACTCAAAAGATTCGCCTCCTCCAGGAAGTCGGCCTGGCAGCCCTTTCTCAGCCTCACCCCACAGGGCTCTCTGGTCTCCCACCCACTTCCTCCTCCCTCCCCTGGGGTGACAAAGAGTCTCTGATCAAACTCCACTCTTTTTGACTAGGTCTCCACTTCTGGGCTTTGGTGTTCATCTCAGCACTGTCCAATTATAGCAGGAACGCTCTACATCAGTTTAAGCCCGAATTCCCACTCCATACCTGATCACCCTCGATATCTAATATTTAATCGAGTTCCTCCTTCCCACCAGCCCTGGGGCACTGTCTGATACCTTGGCCTGCCTTTAGTGGGAATGCTGTTAGGTGGGTTCAGCCAGAATCCCCCTTCATCCCTGATGTTTCCGGTCACTAATTCTCGGTCCACTGACCCCCCCCCACCCCTTGGCTATAAACCCCCACTTTTTCTTGTAGTATTCAGAGCTGGGTCCTGTCTTCCCCTCCACTGCAAGACCCCACTGCATGACCTGCTACCTATCACCAGTCCCCTCCCTTGAACAGTCTTCCTTGCCATCTTAACAAGTATAGTGAATAATTTCTTTCTTTAATGGGGTTCCAGGGCGCCTCATGGGCAGGTCTGTCCTGGGGTTGTGTCCTCGGGAGGGCTCAGCCTCCCCATGCTCGTACAGGTTGTTCTCTGATGTGTGTTGGACAGACTGTGGGGAGAAGAGAGAATGGATCCCCCACCATGTTCCTGGAAACCTGCAGGCTGACCTGTCTATTGGTTACTCCCACTCCCTGTCAGGTCCAGGGCAACTAGGGGGAAGGAGTTGGGGAGGGGGGGCTTAGCTCTCACCTGTCCTCTGCCTCCCCCTCCAAGTCCATCACCTCATGGCCATGGCCGGCTGCCAGGTGCCCAGCGTCTGGGGGAGCTGGGTCATAGTCATAGCTGTAGGAGGCAGAGGCCGGTGTCGGCTGCTCTGGAAGGAAGGGGGGGCTAGGTCGGTAGGAGGGCACTGGAGGGAGAGGATCTGGATAGCAGACAGCTCAGAGAGACCATGAAAAGGAGATAACGTGTCCCAGAGCAACAGGCAGGAGGTGGGAGGTCACAAGGGTGGGGGAAGGGGACACAGTGTTCAGAGATGGGTAGTAGATGCAGAAAGGCACAAACTTGGGGTGGGGGTGGGGAGAGACTCAGCAAGACTGAGGAGCAGCAGAAACCCAGATGCAAGGAACCAGAGATGGGGGAGGTCACAAAGCCTAAGGAACAGAGACAGAAAGACAAAGACTGGAGGAGAGATGCAGGGGCCACAGCTGGGGGGAAAGTTGGGAGGATCAGGGAGAGACAGGGAATCAAGGGCTGTGAGAGAGGGAGGAGGGGTGGGGGAAAGGGGAGAGGAGAGGAGGAAGAGGAGAGTGATGCTAGACAGGAGGGAGGAGGTGGTGGGGAAGA